GGGGAAAAAAACGGGGATATACATAGAGTCGTTTATAAATATTTAATGTATAAGTACGAGAGACCATATATAGTCGGAAAAATCGCGTCGTTATTTTTTCTCATTATTCATAGGCATGTAATAATAATAATATTAATAATAATAATAATTGTTTGTTGCATGGAGAGGCGCGCGCGCTCGTTTTTTCATGCATGCGAAAGTCAAATTTTCACGCAATAATAATAATGTATATCATGCATCGATGACGACATGTTGTAGAAGTGCCAAGCGCTTATAAATAAATTTTGTAAGTATCGTACGTAATCGTCTTTCTCCCCCTTTGTTTTCGTCAAACGAGTCAATATTTCTATGTACACGCAAATAACCACCAGATCAGATTTGCATCAACGTTACAATCGAGCGCTCTTTGGGTAAGTAAAAGTTTTTTTTTTTTTTTTACATATTCTATAGCTCTACGTTTCTATCAATACTTGGAATCTTGTGGTAAAAATACACGTGCGTTCTCTGATATGTCTGAGAAGGTGCTCGCTATTGCTCCCGCGAAATAAAATGGCAGTGTGATGATACATACATCGAGGGACAGAACGTCGAGTTTGCATCGGAATAATTGTGCAAGGAGAACACACAGGACGTAAATTGTAATTTGCTTTTCGAGTCTCTTATTTAAGATTCTTCTTCCTCAAAGAACGGACTAGAAAATAAATCTATATCAAATATATATATATATGTATGTATGTGTGTATATACACGGTATCTCAGGCACTCGAGAAATGATTGTGCACGTCGCGTCACTAATTAGAAGGAACTTTTCTTACGATGACTTCATCGTTAGACTATGACGCTCCGCCTGTTGCTCTTGCAGTGAGGACTGTAAACTTCTAATTTGTCCCGCGGTGTGTTCATCGCGGAATAATCGATGGGGAACGGTATGGTATTGCCGCGTATCATGCAGGAATCGGTCATGCCCAGAAAATGCTCCCCCGGTCCGAACGGGCCGCGACCGAACAGAAAGTTGGCGAACACCAACTGATACTGCGTCCAGGCGAGAGGATGATCTCCGTTCTATAAAATAAAATTTTATTCGCACATTTTTATCGAGACGTGTTGCTTTTTTATTCAAATTTTTTTAAAAACGGATGAAAATTCATAATCTCTCGTTAAATTTTGATAGCAAAACACTTTTTGTTTAAAACACACTTCTCGTTTATTTCGCGAACCGGATTAACTCACCGAAGTCATAGAGTTGTACGCGATGTCCAGACACTTGTTTATCCTTTCGGTGTCTAGGCCGACGACGGAGCTGTAAAAAGCAGCGAGTTCTTTCTTGCTGATCATTCCGCTTCCGGAGCTGTTTATGGCGAGAAAGAACACTCTGGGCATAACTTTGATCCAGAACGGCATGTCGCTGTAAGTAGCACCGTCCGCTGGCGCGACGATCTGCGCCCACCAGGACAACCAATCGTCGAGATCGATCTTTTTGTCAGGATCCACGGGCATCTTTTTGTCTTGAAGGATCAAACTGGCAAATCCGTTCTCGATCTCCAACAGCCTCAAATATTCCGGACCGTTCCACGACCAGTCCGCGAATCTCCTCAAACGCTTTTCAAATCAGAAAGTTAACGTCTGTTATTTGTCCGTTTGAAATTGTACAGCTCTTTTCACTTTTCAAATTTTTGCAGTTATAAATAAAACTAAATAAAATCTTAAATAAAATTTTGGTAAGTTATTTTTCGTGCTGTGATTATTTTTATAACTCTTTCGTTTTACGAAATTGTTTTAATGGAAAAGATATAATTTTTGAAAGTAAAGTTTACCTCTGAGAGAACCGAAAAATCTTTTCGACTGATGTAACCGTCTTTATCTAGGTCCAAAAGATATGTGAAAAAATGCGAGAACTTATCGCGCTGTATGGGTGCTAAGGTCTCAGAACCCCCTTTGAATTCGTTAACTGCGGACAAACTGTCGTCACTCGGAAAACGGCTCACCCAAGTTGCTACGAAACAAAATTACACTAATTATTTACAATCACATAAATTTTTACTCAAATAAGTTAATATTTTATTTTTTTTTTTTACAGAACAAAGAGATTTAATTTAAATTTAACTTTGCGTCACGCATTTGTAAAATAAACTCACATGAAAATAATCTTGTGTATAATTAAAAAATTACGAGTTGTATACGCGAACTTTAATTTTTGTTTTTACACTCACGCACTTGTTTCACTTATGTATCACTGTATGTGTAACTTGTTGACAATTGTTGAGAAAAAATTTCACTTGAAAACAATACTCACTCCAAACGTGCACGCTCCAGCTGGGTTGTTCCAGTTCGGGGGCGACGACGGGCGCGATAGCGACATCGTCGACGTTGCTGCTGGCTGTTCTCCATCTCTTCAGCAGGTCCTTGGTGCGATCGCGAGTCCGATCGCAGGCCTGTCGCCAGTTGGTAATGAATTTACGCGGCACTTTGAGCGCATTGCCGTCGTCCAGACTGATCTCCTGACTATTGAGCGAGCTGCGCTGACTTTTGTCAGCCGGTTCGCCACAGCTGCCGCCGCCGTCGTTTGACGCGCCGTCGTTCTCCGGGTAGTAAATCGGGTCCTTTATGCTGCCCGAGCGGCTCTCCATGATGAACTACCTAGCATGTCTCTCGCCTGACGAACGGCCACGTACATTTCAGGGGGACACTCTCTCCTGAAAATAATCAATTCCAATGGCCGGAGGTCAGCGGGTCGCTCGATATCGCGACCGCGCCGTTTCGTCGCCGCGGCATCTTCGCGGCGTGTAGCTATAGATGTGACGTGTCCTTTTCTTTCTCACTTTTATCTTTTTATATTTGAGAGATATACTATATTGAAAACAACAACAATGTAGAATGTATGTTTACACTGAATAGATAAAGAGATAACAGGTATTGTAGTCAAAACCAGTGTGAGTTACACTGTTGTTTGTTGTGTTACACGAAGTTACATTAGTGTGTCAAGGATGCACAGGATGTGTCGCAAGAGATCAAGATAAAACAACAGTGTGAAATAATTAATAAACGACACGGTCGTTTCAGTGAACGAAAGACGTGATTAAATGAATAAAAAAACAAACAAACAAGTCGAAGAGCAACAACAATATTTGACTCAGTACAATAAAAATAGTTAGAAAAATCACGTGTGTGCTTTTTAAATATCTCTTTCAATATCTTCAATAAAAATCTGTTTAATGAACACATAAAATCTGTTCGATGCATTGATACGAAGCAAAACTTGTTCTATTTATTTTGAACCTGACGTAGATTTTTTATATATCAATAAACAAGCTTGTATTTATTCTCTGCAGAAACTCTGTGTGTGAACTGTATATATAAACTATTTATAAATTCCTCCAAAACCATCGACAGAGATTCTGTCACAATTTATTTCACAGAGAGGTCTCTGAAAGCAGAACGAACCATCAACCAGCGGTTCGTTAGCATGCGGAGTGCATTCCGATATTTATTATCAGTACCAAAACATCTGTATAGTACACATGTGATGGGTTTTAAGTCAGGGAACACACGAAAAAACTTGATTAAAAAATCAACCAATCACAAAGCGCGCGCAACAGTAGTGTTTCTCGGGAGCCCGCCAGTATATCGAAACGCGCGATATTTCGTGAATCGAAATATGTGTCTCGAATCGAGACGCGTGCGGCAAACAACTCTCGCCTTTGATTATATACTACGAAAAGAAATTCTATCTTCAAGATGTAATTGCATGCAGTCCGAAGAAAACTGTATGGTGGGAATTCAGCCAATTGTCTTCCAGTTAAACTGAATCGTCAACAAGTGCGAGACGTGAGGTTTTGAAACCAGAAAAAAAGACTGACACACAAGCGGCCAGACCCATACATTGCACGGAATAAAACCATGTTCACGTTTGAACATAGCGTACCGATAAGTCATTCGTGAACATGGCTACGTAGTTGCTAATGTGCACCACCTAATAAACATTGCGCTGGCTTACAGGGCGGAAAAAAACGATTATACTTTCTCTCATAGGCCTGGCCGCTCAGTCTCCTTTCCGTTGGAACGCAGCTCTGATAGGCTGTGTTTCTATATTAACTGCCAGCACTAAAAATCTATACTTCACGTCACAAGTACTATAGATTTTTAGTACTGGCAGTTAATATTGGAACGCAGTCATAGTAAGCGGTGTGTGGTGGCGCGCGCGTCGCTTGTTGCTGACTCACGTAGTACTGGCGGTTATCTTCAGTTCGTTCGTTGGTTGGATCTCGATCGTGTTTGTGATTTTCTCGTGTTTTCCGCATCCGGAGTGAATCCGCATCGCGTGCGTGCGAGTGCCGCGGGTGTGTTAAATCGCAGATCGGAGAACACAGTGCGGAATTTTGCGCGCGGACCCGCGTTAAACGGCGTCTTCTCCGGTTCGGAAGATGGAAAGAGAGAGAACCAGAGTGGGAACGAGAAGGAGTGAGAACGAGAGAGAATTGGCGCGCTTCAATCGGTAAGTTCTGTGTGTTCGCGTTAAAATATTTCTGCACAATCTTCGATCGGGCATTAGCAATGTTAAACTTTCGAAATAATTTCTCGTCAATAAATGATCGATCTGATCTGATATTTTGATCCGCGACGTACGTTGTGTGTTTCAAGTTGCAAAGCAAGATATGTGTTGGTATTCCGCGCGTTTTTTGCCGCGATATATTCGAATTGCATCATGTCGCACGTAACTGTGGAATACATCGATATTTTTGTTTTATTTTCAATCTTCTATAAATTTTCCATTGATAATCCACAAAAAATTAGAATTAAAACGCTCTCGTACTCCTTTGTGTAATATATTTTACGCTCTTGATTGAAAATCATCTCGCGCGCGCGCGCGTAAATGACAACAATCGTGCTTGGCTTTTTGCCAGTGAAATTCGTATTACATCGAAGAATCTCAGTTACCATCAAACTTTGGCAAACTTTGTTTAAAAACTTTACTTGAAAGTTTTCGAAGACGAAATACGCGACTCGAAAAGTTATTCGATGATCGATCGGGATTTTCTTTCTTGGGCCTCCGTATATATAATGACTTTAAACTCGAAGTGCTTATTGAATGACAGCCACTTTATTGAGAATAGACAGCGATAAACATTAAGATCGCCTTGCGCAGCAGTTACCACGATTTTAGATAGTAAGATATCACACGTGTCCGTAATTGTGGTAATAATTCCTAAATTATATTCGGTATGCTATCGATCTCTCATACACATGTTACAACGAGTCTGATCATTTCTCTCGAGTGCACTCTTGTAACCTACTTTATTAACCGTTTACCGCAAAAAATAGGCAAGCTAAAAGGACGGGAACGCATTCTGTGACGCTTAGGTTTTTAAATTTTACATTCTCTCACAAAATGAATTTCTCCTCCCCAATCCCTTTGAGTTCACTTATCTTTTGCAGAGTTCCCTTTAAAATGGAGGTATGATAAATATTTTCAACGCTCGATAATTGACTATACATGCATTGTCTCTTGCGTATGTAAAAAGAAAAAGATACACTCTATAATATAATATATATACGTATAAAAATGTCGATAACACAATAAAGCATTAATATCTTTTAAAGTCATCTCGCACTAATGTTTGTTGATTATGAGATTTGTCAAAATATCTCTGCAAGGGTAATTGAAAAAATTCGGCAAACAAAAATTGGTCGAAATTTACATTGTTGTAATATAACTCGCGTTTTTTAATTTCAAGATTGAATCGTGAATCGCTAATCATTTGGATGAGAAAATCCAGATAAAACTTCGTTTCCGTTCTGCAACAAAAACTAAAGAAAAAGGAATATACAGAATCAATAATTTCAGTTGATCACTTTTAATTCGCCTATTTTTTACAAAGATACATCTGTGTCACAGAATGATGATGATGATAATGATGATGAAGTGTTTGAAAATATGTGTGTATGTGTGTGTGTGTGTGTGTGTGTGTGAAAGAGCACTCACTATCACACTCACACTTTTAATCTCCTTTAAATTCGCTGTACGCACGCATACATAGTCGCATGTATTGCTGTCAGATATTCTGTTTTGTTTTTTTTTTTTTTTGTTCGCAACGATTTGTAAAAAACTTTTTTGGCTTGGTTTGCCTGCCGGCGACACAAGAGTGACTTATAATTACTGGGGAGAAAATTATGTTCTAAGAGGATAACAATACGTACAAATTCGTCGAGTGTCGATCTATTATGCCGTATCGATGTTATTTTAACAATCGCGGAAATGATTCATTTCTGTTAAAATATATTGCACCAAGTACACCGCAATAATTAAATTATCGCAGTTGACCTTTCTCTCGACACAGCTGTCAAGAGCCGAATGAACGGGAATTTGCGATGTTATTTCGTGATGAAACTTGGAATCGTATTCCTAAAATTTAATTGCGAATCGCATGACGAGCTTCCATTTTCGTACCGTAAAACGGGGCGCTATTACTACTATGCTCTCACGCACAGCACGCCAAAGAAGAGATTTCTATCTTTTTTTTTTTTCTTAAGACTTTCCTTCTTTAACTTCGGTCATGAATATACATCGTAAGTAATATTGTCGGATGGGTCGCTCCGCGTTTTACTACTCAAATCTCGAAACTCAGCACAAACTTGGAGAAACCTCTTACGGAAATATTTCAAGCTCTACCTTTAATGAGTTTACTTACAAGTTGGAGCAACGGAAAAAAAAAATCCTTTCTTAAATGTTTTCTTTGTGCGAGAGGAAATAACATTTGTTCAACTTGACATTTATTCTGCCCGCTGATATGAATATCTAACCCCGTTTCAAGGCAAGAGAGAAAGAGAAAGACTTATTAAATTTTTTTTCTTTTCGCGCGCGAGAGGATCTTCTCGCGATTATCCTCCGTGTGTTTACGTGTGCGTGTTATGTGTGAGTACGTAACTATCTTTTCTTGTAGAAAAAAAAAACCGAAAGGGATATGGGGGGGCAATTGACAATGCATGCATTGATTCGATTCAATTCGATTGGATAATTATCAGTTAGTAGGGATATATCCGAAGGCATTTTAATAACATGCTCCGCCGCACATCGTCTCGAGGTATTTTGAACACAGCACCCTAGCGGAGAACGAAATGTATCATGGTGAAAACGTTCACGTTGTTTTTTTTTTTTTTTTGGTTTTTTTCTTTTTTGTTTTAATTGTATCTCTCCTAGAATTTTGGCTATAGTCGCGCCGAGATTTAGATTTTATTTATATGTGTGTTAGGAAATATTCCATGACTAGACTTACATACTTTTTTTTTTTTTTTTTTTTTGTATAACATGTATTTACAAACACATAGTTAGTCATTTTAGAAATGTACGCGAGGGGAAACTTACTTTTATTTTATTTGTGTAAAGTACCGCTCCTTTATGTGCCGTCTCCAGCCTGAGGTTTTGGCGATTCCAAACGTGAGAAACGAGAGAATCGCCCGAGGGTGAGAACGGACATGCTTTTCTATTAATTTAAATCATGCTCGCTCGATATAATCTTTTTTTTTTTATCTTAACAATTCTTATTATAATTAGATATACGCGTATATGTTCTCGCTATGGAAGATATTTGTTAGCCGACGGCGATGCTCTAAAAATGTAATCCCTCTCCCGTTACGTGAAAAACATTATCGCGTAATTTATTTGTTTTTTCTCTATCTATAATATAGTGGAAATCGTTCTATACACAGTCAACAAATATATAAATCTACTTTCTCATCCGCCGCGGTTAACAAATATCTTTTCTTCTTCTTCGTCTTCGTCTTCTGTGTATATAACTTGTCTTGTAAATGTTCCGAAGGTAGATTTATTAATTAATAATTAACTATATATATATATATATATAGGACTAGTTTATAATATTTTAAAGTCGTGTCACAAAAATATTCTTCGGTCGTACTAAGAAATAGGTAAACAATACTTGTTTGCTGCTAATGACCACCCCTATGTATTTTCTCTTTCCCACCCCTCCCCCCCCCAACCCTAAAAGTGAAACATCACATCAACTCTTGTTCCTTTCTTCTTTCCCAACTTTACGTCCCCCCCCTCCGATGTGATTATTGTTACATATGTTTAATCCCCTTTCCCCTCCTGTTGTTGTACCTATGCCGTACAAGGTTTCTTCTCGTTAGCTTTCTTGTATGTTTTGTTGTTACACGTCACACGTCTTTTATACCGCGTCGCTAATGAGATACGAGATTTTTATTGACTGACGGTCAGATAACTAAGTGCGTGCTCGATAGTCAAATTGCGCACATAGATTCCGTACATTTACTTTTCCATTTATGTCTAAAAACGAAAACAGTGAGAAGTGAGAGAGAAAGAGAGAGAGAGAGAGAGAGAGAGAGAGAAAGACGAGCAGGGAATCGAAATTTCAGTGACTAACGAGTGTTCGAATTTGCGAGGAAATTCGTCAAATTTCGAATTTATTTGTTTTTTCCGTCATTTTTTTAATACGCTTAAATAGTCATCGTCGTTAGAAAATATTCTTGCGTGTCATAGAAAAAGTCTTACCTTTACTCGTCGACGGTAATGTCTTTCCCGCACCTCGATGAGAACTACATATTATATATATATATGTATATATAATGATTCCGAGTAATTATCGTTACTAAAGCATTGTCATTATTCTCTTTTATTTTCGTTCTTCGTTTTTTTTTTTTTTTTTATTGATGATAATAAATGCCGTGTATAATATCGAGGGCGCGAAAGACGGAACGAATAAATTAATTGATCAATCAATCAATCCCGACAACGGTGTTTTGCGCGGTGACGATTTTCTCAGCTCACACATCGGCGTTTTCTTATAAATAAGTCAACTATCTCAGTAGTAATAGTAAAACTATCTGTATACGATTCAGTTTAACAATAAATTATCGCCGCAATCGCTCTCTCATACGAGACGCTCAACAGTCTAAAATTACATTTGCGAGATCAACTAATCGACTTAAGTAAAACCGACTCTCTTAAAACACACATCCTCCACACATCGAGTCCGTGATGATGAGAAATGCGAGTTTTTGTTTTACGCCGACACGGTGAAAAATCATGAGAATCAGAGATCCGCCCGGCTGGCCGTTAGAGGTACTCGACGATGTCGCACTTGATGGATATATTCGGGCAACTAGCTATGTTCGAGCGATAGCCCCGCCTGGCAGTGCTCTTGTGTCGCTCGGTGAGGAGCTTCTGAAAGATCGGCAGGATCGTCAGATCCAACAGTTCACCGTCCGATACGGCGTTGTACATCTTCGAGACGTTCACCGCGGAATCACCTGCAAAGCAAAAAAAAACACCAATGTCGAGGTCGCAGTCGCGATAATTTGTTGCAATTTAAAANAAAAAAAAAAAAAAAAACAAATTTTCAACATTACGAAATTACATTTCAAGCGCTGAATCGTCTGTTTTTCAAGACCGATCGGTTAAACACGGACAAAGCACAAGAAATCTGATACATTTCAAGTCTCTGTTCTGTACACGCGTGCAACAGTCACTTCGCATTCCGTTGTGCAAGGAAAAGGAATGTAATATTACGTCATATTTGTATAAATAATTACATGTCGTGTCGTTAATTAGTCACAAAAGAATCGCGCGTACACACAATAGAGAGATTCCGGCGAGATTTCAGTAACATTACCGTTTACGTCGCTAGTCCCGCCCCGCGGATTAGTCGCGACGTGTTTGCCGTTGTGCATTGTCGCCACGTTCGGACTGCTCTGCACGTATTCCAGTCGTGCCTGATGTCGCAGCTTCGAACCGGTGTGACGACACATCCGGCGTGCGACGCGGTGCGAGCACTCGACTATGGGGTAGCCGCCCCCGATATGCAGTCGCAGGCACTTCTCCCGTGAACGCTCCGACATGGAACGCTGAATGATCGTCGACATTGTCTCGTCGTATTTTTCTGTCGGTAGACAAAACAAAGTTCGATATATATTGTGTGTGTGTGTGTGTGTGTGTGCATAATAGTTATTATTATTACAACAATAACGTAAATGTAATAATAATAATAAATTATTGCGACACATATAAACGCGCGAAAGCGAGTCCTTTTCTTTTTACAAATTCAAATGTACTCATTTGATACGCGGACAACAGAGAAATGTTACTAGGGAAACATCCCTAAAACATTTCTTAGTCCTGTCTTGTTATCTCAATCCTGTTTCTTGTTTTTTGTAGTTCGTTCACACTCGAGTAATCCCAACACGATGTTTTTTTTAAGACTATCCGATGTTATTACATATGTACATATGTATATATAGGACAAAACATCTATTATACAATGACTGGCACTTTAGATCCAATAATTGGCGCTTTGAAGACTTGTCAAGTTTTTTTTTCGCAAGAGTGTCAACTAAAATAATGTTGTCGTAAAAAGAATCCGAATTAATATCCTATTGAAAGTAAAAAGTAACTGTGGACAAAGATGTCGCAACATAATTAGAAAAGATCAATAAGTGCCAATTATTGAAAAGGTGTTAACTATAGGCTCGATTACTCTGGATGATCAAGATCTAAGCTAAGAATCTCTCTTTATCTGAGAGAAAATTAATTTCGTAAGTTTCAAGTTTCTCACCGTGTCGATGATTCGGTACGTAATGATGCAGGGGAAACGTCGGCATGATCACTTGCTCGATGTAGCTCTGCTCGTGGAGCTCGCCGAAGGAGACGTTCTTCGTCGGCGGCGGCGTCGACAGTTTCGCTCTGCGTTCGTCCTTGCTCCGTCTTCGGTGGCACACGTGCCTCGCGATCTCCCTCTCCTCCAGGACCACAGAGTCGCTCTCTTCGACGACCGGCGGCACAAAGTCGTAGCGCGTCGTGACCGGCATTTCGTTCGGCAGCGGCTCCGGGCTCCTGCCGCGCTTCGGACGCGACTCGCTCACCTCGTCGGCGGTGACGCTCTTCCGCCGCGACGTGTCTCTGCCGCACGTGTGATGCAAATGCGTCGTCATCGTCGTCGTTGTCGTCGCCGTCATTGTCATCGCCGTCGTCGTTGTCGCCGCTGTCGTCGTCGTCGTCGCCGCCGTCATTGTCGTCGTCGTCGTTGACGGCGGCGGCGGGGACGGCGGTGCTTCTATCGCCGTCTCAGGCGATGTGCTCTCCTCGATCGCCTCCTGAGTCGTTACAGCCACTCGTTCGCTGTCGACGATTGACGCAACTTTCGAAGACGACCTTTTCCTAGAACAAACATCGCGCGACTACCCTGAGAATGAACGGCGAAGCGGGCGAATCCGTGACACGTGTAATCCAATGAAAATTCGCGTTTTAATGAAAATTTAGTAGCTTTTCTGGAGAAAAGAGAGGAAGGGGAATCTAAACGAAAGAGAGAAAGTTTGAAAGAAAACGTGTCGTCAACAAATGTGCCAGCGTACTTCGTTACTTGATCCACGTTGACGTAATCACCCTCGGGTTGCGAAACGGTAGACGAGTTCAAACTGCACATAGACATCGAAACATCAGTCGTCTCTGTGGTTATCGATGGCCCTGGTCGAATAAATATGAACCAAATATGAATGGACCAGATACATAATTGTTGTAAATGTGCTTGCTTTCATGCCGGTGAAACGGATCAGGAGAAGAATTTTACCTTCCTTTTTAACGGCTTCTTCCTGTTTCGGCACGGGCAGCGTGTCGACCGTCTCTTGCGTCTCGATCTCGGTTTCGTCGCCTATTCTTCTTAAAAATCCCTAAAATAACAGATAACCAAGAGATAATAATCGACTGTTACATTTCTCTTGGATGTAGCGCGCGTTCGATATAACACGGCATTTCTGAATTAACTATTAACTGCGTAAATGTGCCACGGCATGTGCGCGGGATCGTTTCTGCCAGAATAATTTTAGACCATTATCTACGAAGAGAGCAAAACCACACGAAACGCGATGACGTCGTTGTGATTATTTATAACCGAATTAAGGATGGATAGTGCGTCGCTTGCTCTTCTGTTTAATCGAAGACCGCCATCGACTTACCTCAAATTAGTCGAGTGCACGGACGGAGTGTTTTACTACAAATACATGGCGTGTGTAGCACATCTCGCCAAAGAAACGTTTTAGCGAAATTGCTTTTGAAATATAAATAAACGCAAAACAACGTTACACGTTATGAGAAAGTTCGTTTTTCTTTAAACTTCTTTTTTCTCTTTATTTCAAGATTGTTTCAAATCTTCGAGAAAGTCAAAACGCTCGCAACGTCGAACATAAAAAATTTGAATTCCAAATTCACGTCAACAGAGAGGGAACAGAACAAAAAAAAAAGAAAGAAACAAAATGTACAGGAAGAAAAGTGATCTGACTGCGGCGCTGACGTATCGTCCGTGAAACTTCGGTGAAGAGTAACACTTTACTATAACACCATTTTGAAAGTTTGACGTACGGAAGAGTCTTACCTGAAGCTCGGAATCCTTTTGCAACAGTTGCTTTCGAAATTTTTTATTCGCCAGCTTTGCCTCCTTTAAACGCTCGTCGAGTTCACTGACTGTCGAATCCCTTCGTATTTTCAACATTGGCCTCAAAGTCGCCCTGGTCCGCTTATTTATCACTCCCTGTGGATTTCTGCGTAACTCTATTACCTGAAAATCCCAAAAGACTCGCTCTTACTCGACTTTGCGATCTTCGCTTCGCCGCGAAGACAGAAACGAGTGTTAGCGTTTTGTAAGACACGCTCTGATCCCCCTCCAAACAATATACGAAACAATATATGATGTATAAACTCATCCATAGTAACGAAAATATAAATTTACATACAGCCGCAATTCGCGATGTAAATATACAAATATATATACAAATCGAAACGTCAGAGGTAGCGGAAGATAACGTCGTATTTTTTTTTTTTTGCACATATATTATCATATACGTCGCTCAGGTGCTTTTTCTTCATAAAGAGAGAGAAACAGAGAGAGAGAGAGAGAAAGAGAGAGAGAGAGAGAGGAAGGAAGAGGAAATTCAAACATTAACAAGCGGATAGCCATCACAGAAAATGAGAACTGTAATAATGAGTAGTAATAAATTATTGGACAGCGAGAAAAAAAAACACGATTTACCTTCCAATCTCGTAATTACTTAAATAAATTATTCGATAATATGTATTTTTGAGAGAGAGAAAAAGAGAGAAGGAAGAAAAATACCTACCTTAGGAATAAAAACCAGACAAAGAGTGGCTGTACTACAAAATATAATGAACACCGACAACATTATAAACATGGCGTCCTGTTTGTCAGTAAGTACGAAGCTTATAGCCGCACCGGTGACGCACATTATAACGACGTTGTACACGCTCATCCCCACGTACTTACTGTCATTTAATGCCGGTATACTAACGTGTCGCGTTTCCCATGCCAGAAAGGCACCGAATATCTGAAAAGCACATCGGAGGGGGTGGATGAGAGAGAATGTCTGTCACGCGTTTTATCCGCCGCGATGCCTGCGCTTCGGCAATTCCGCTCAACTTACCATTAAAAGACCTTTGTACGTGTATATGCAAATCAGGTAAACATTCATTTTATTGCTCTGACAGTACTCGTTTTCCGGGACGATTATTATATCCTCGCTGGATGGGTGATGCTGCAATCGCGGAAAGCACGACACGCAAATTATAACAACAATCGAGCGTCGTCGAAAAAGTATTTCGCAAGTAATTTAATTCTCTCGTATTAGAGAGACAAAAAGAAAAAAGGTTGTCGTACGTATATACACAATTGGATTTTTATTACGTGTATTTTGTTTTGTTTTGTTTTTTTTTCTTCGTACTCACATACGGCTCCATTTGCTTGATCGCCCGATAAAACGGATCAGAGACTTGCCACGTCGTCATAATCGTGAGATCGATAGCCAGCAATATCCCAACCACCATGAATAATTGATAATCTTTTATTACCTGAATCACACGAGGGTGCACAACGGAAGTTGGTTAAACGTGTAAACGCGAAATTGCGGGCTCGCGCTCGCTCGTCGCGGTTCTCGCTACGTTAGTCGATAATGAGCTACCTTCTTGTTGAGCTTCACGTCGGTGAATATTGAATGCACCCGCCAGGTTTTCGAGAACATGGATCCGAATGCTAACGAGAAACCGGCCATCAGCAGCCACGCTCTGGCCGTGCAGATATACGGGAACGCCGCCACGCTCGATAATTGCGAGTCCAGTCCGAGAAAGATAACGCTACTGTACGTCAGCATACAACCGATGATGATGAGGTTGTTCAGGTGGGGCGATGACATTTTGATGTATCTGCAATATCGAGTTGCGCGTGTGAAACGCGCGTGTTCGCGACCAACTTCGTACATAGGTATATAGACGGATAGATAGAGGGACGGAGACGGGATAGAAGGGGATAAGAAGTAATCAGGCGACCCCTCAAATGAGAGATCCCATATTATACGCGCGTGTTAAATAATTCATTACATATTATAACGGCGGTGCCGTGTCACCTTTGATTTCTGAATCTGATATTGATGGCGAGAAAAATGGACGCCAAGACGATACCGCCACTAGCAGCCGAGGCTAGCACCGCGTACAGGGTGATGTCCACGGTCGTGTGCTCGATGATGCGAACGGTTCTGTCTTTCGGCGGCGGTTTGCCGCTCCAGAGCTGAGCCTCACCTCTCGTTAAATCCAGGACGCCGGTCATGCTATCGTATTCGCCTACGTTTACCTCGCGACCGTCTACAAGAGATGAGAGCTTATATTGAACCGACACACGCGCGCGCGCGCGCGTGTCAATAAAATAACATACCTATAGCCGAAATTCAGTTTTATATCTGCTTTGAAAAATTAAATCCATCTATGTCGAAGTAACAAATTTTACAGTCCACATTTTTTTTTATTATCGAATCGGGTCAGTGCGATGAAAAAAACTTGTATTTTTTTAACTACATTTCAACGCGCTCACGATCTTCCGTGCAAGTGGTTTTTTTTTTTTTTTAATTTGTATTTTCGCGCTAATTACTGACGCGTGTGCTGACGGTCGGTATTTTCAAATTCCGTTCGGACATAACGCTCTATCTCTTTAAAAGCTTGAGAAAATTTAAAAGCGCGCTAAAATAACTATACAAGTAAACTTACTTTGAAATTGTTTTAGAAGAATGTACGCTTTCCTTTCGTTATCGTAGAAACGGACCGGTCCCTGAAAAATATTTTATATCTCTCACATTTCTATCTCGCTTTATTATACGGAACGATAGTTATCGCGGGCGATCGGGACCGCGGGACGAATCGGATTTTAAAATAAAAACTCTCTCTTTCTCTCTCTTTCTATCTTTCTCTCTCACTCGCCAATCCACTATCAACTGATGCCAATTTGCTTCGCTAACTCGCCTGGTGGTTTGTCATGTTTTTGATTTCGTTTTAATTTCAATTCGGTTCACCGCCGATCGGTCCCGTTCTCCCGGTTGTTATATCGCCGTTACAACGCAACACACATGCGCGCACACTCACACACACACACACACACGTGTTCTCTCTTTTTGCTGTTGCATAACGTTATGTATGGAAAAATGTTAAAAACGTATTCGATTGTCACGAGATAATTACACGCGCAATGCCACGTTACGAGTGTACGTGTATAATACGTGAAAAAATATAATATATGAGAAAATAAAAAAAACAAGAGAGAGAAAAATAGACGGAAAAACCTCATTAAAAATTCGCGCGTAGAAAACTGATGCACGTGCACTTGAGACACTCCGGAGTGTGAAAAGACGGTCAAGTGCAACGCGCGAATGCCACGACGTTGATTACTGGAGAACACGGTCCCTCCCCCGTTCTTTCACGTCTCTCTGTCTACGACAGGCACAAAGTGCCAGCAGCTGTCGTCGGATGCTCTCGCACGACGATCGAAGACAAGGGTTGTCGCTCGTCTAATGAAAGAGCATAAAGACCGCGCTCTCCAATCGTCGCTTTTCTTTATAAACGTCTTCTTCTTCTTCCCGGATTCTCTCTGTCGTTTTCTTTTTGTTTTTTTTTGTTTTTTGTTTTTTTAACGAGTTTTCCCCCTCGTCTCGTAATCGCCGGGGGCCGTTTACGACAACAGTGAATTCTTTTCTCTGTGCACTCGACACAAATACCAACCTCGCAGCTCGCAACTTAAATGACGCGAATCAATCGACCGCGGAAAAAGAAATATTTTGCTCCTGGCCACGGAAGTCAAGGGGTAAACCAGTTAAAGCGAGAAACGTGCGCGATAATCTCGTTGAAATACTCGTCCACGCGGTATAGATATACAAACAAGAACGTGGAAGTAAGAACTCAAAAAGAAATAAATAAATAAATATTTAGAGGAATATTTTGCAATTATGCAAACAACATGTAATAACAATAAAAAAAAATGAAACAAAATTGTATCTTTTTCAAGAAAAACTGTTTGCTTCATTGTTCTATATAACTCTCAAAAGAGTTTTTTTTTAACAAGAGAAAATAATGTTTTAAATAAATACACAATTAATTAATCAACAAAATGATAAAATTAATAAAATATAAAACAATGCAATGTTTTTCTTTAAAAAGAATACACACAATTGTGTGGATTAAAACACGAAGTACATTTTTTCAGAAATATATTGTCGCACGCGAGATAAGACAAATGTAAAAAACTGCATTATCGCGCGGCTGAAAAATCTTCAAAACTATCCTCCAACTCGACTCCGTCTACATTTTTATTCAAAGTAATCCTCTGAATTCGCTTTTGTTGGAAGAAAAAAAATTACTCGCTGCACACGACAGTGACCATTTTCAGCGTTGGGAATTTCACGTCAACCGCCATTACTCAGCGCCGTATTTGGTCCACACGAGTAGGAGAACACGGACGTCGTTGTGGCGCGAAATTGTCAGACAGAGCCCGGCTTACCGTGACGCCGTCGAAGCTGGTATTCCTCAGGGCATCGAGAAAGAGCTTCTCCCATAATGCGTCTCTGTACCGAAAGTCGGATATAGTCTGGTTGCGATGGAAGTGTCTTATTCGGCGGGCTACGTGTTTTACAGCCAGCGCGACCGTCCAGATACCGTCGTACGTGTAACCGTGAAATCTCGAGTACTCGTTGCCCCGCCTCGAGTCGTACTCGATCTGGTACTGATCCGGGGTCTAGAGGGGAGGAAAAAAAAGAAGATAAACAACCCACTCGAACACCGATGCAAAACGCAACAGGCGCGCTCTCGAATCCCGCGGAGAGACGCGTGTTTGGCGTGTTTCCGATTGAGTCGTTCCCCGATCGCTCCGGGGAGGCGCGATTAAACGCAATTTTCGGCGAGAGCTCTCGCGTATTTCCGAATCAAGAAATGCCGTCGAAGTGCGCAGGATACGGCCGATTGCGCTTCATCCGACATTTTCAGCTCCGATGTGAAAATCGACTTTTCCGCAATCCCGCTGAAAATCGTATTCTTATAACGCGCCGGTTACACGGCGGAAGAAATGACATTTTCGCACGTTTTCATCGAGTCGAGAAAAAGATCTCGAGTTCATTAAAATAAAAGTTTCGCAAGAAAAATTGAAAAAAAAAAAAATGGAAGATTACGCAAAAGTTCAACTTTCACATTGTCATTTCGAATCGAGAAAAGTATATTATATGTCTATATACACAGGCGTGTATATATGTGTATATTCCAAGAGATATAATTTTCAAGTTTGATTCAACTTTGTTTCCCGAAGCAATTCGCGCGAATCTGATTGAAAACCAAGTATAGTATAATACAATATATAAGCACACATATAGACTCTCTCGCGTATATTATTTCGCTTACGATCCCGGACGTGGTGTGCTGCTCCTCGGTCGTCAGCGGAAGCAGATCCGTGAGAATGACACCGTGAAGAGCGTCGGACAGCTCGGACGGTGCGCAACCGCCGCCCGGACGTAACCACCATTCTCTCGTATAGGTTCCGATGATGATCCACTGATATTTCCTGCCGTATAAGCCGAATCTGTAGGCCTCGCAGAATATTCGTCTGGCCCACGCCTCGTTGAAATTTCCCAAGAGAATCCTCACGTCTCTCTCCTTGAGCTTCTCGAGAGCCGTTTTCACCTCCGTGGCGAAGCTCTGCGTTTCGACGAGCTCCATCTTGCTCTCGTCCAGATCGGCCACCAGCCGATTGTGCACCTGCGAAAACAAACGCGCAACCACATTCGAGAGGGAGAACGCTCGCCGTCGCCTCCCGAGTTTGAAATGCTTATCACGCGCTATAACGTAAATGCATTCGCGCGTTTGGTCTGTTCAAACGAGCCGCTAGCGGCGGCAAATCTCCATTTATAATGCAAATGGAACAGTTGCCGCATACATATATATCAACCCCCGGTCGCCGCGCCGCGAACGCGCGCGTAGAGAACGACGCGCTCTCTCACAGCGCGAGATTAATTAACCCTTTCATTTTCCCCGAATTGCTTCCAACTGTTGAGAATCGCTGGTTGAAAGCGTTTTCTTAATCGTATTTAACGTTTAATCTCTGGCGCTTATACGAAGGACGATTTATGAGCGAACTTACAAATATTCGAAACGTTTTCTATATTTTTGTAGTACGCTGAAAATTCTACTTTTTTTATTTTTTTTTTTTATATATTTTTTTTTTATATTTTAATTCAAAGGGAAACCGCAGAGGTGCGGTCGGCTACACGTCCCAATACACATCTATATATTTTATTCGTTTGTATTTCTATATCAAAAGTGTGTACGATTTTCAAAAGACCGTTTCTCGTCAGAGGCCGCGACAGGAAATTTTTTTGAAATCTTTTCCACTTGTGCTTTTGCTCGAATTTATTTCCCCGACTCTCTCTCGTTTTTTGTACGTGTCACAATTGGTTTTTTTTTACCAGCGCATATCTGGGCTCGTTCTGATAAATCGTTCCGACCCGGGTCCAGTTGAAATGCAGTAACAAAGCCACTCGCGGCGCGTTCAAAGCGTTTTCGGACGGCACAACCCTAAAGAAATTCGGGAAGCCGTCGGTCGTGAACATAGGATGAGTATCCGCGTAGCTGAGCTGCAACAGTAAAGAATCAGAGTACGAGCATTGGTTAAAGAAATCGCACATCTTTCTTATATTGAACGTCATCGTATCTTCACGTTGTTCTTCGTATACGTGTATGCGTGTACGTGTGTGTGTGCGTAAGTACGTGCGCAAACAAGCGCGACAAGAAGGAGGGCACTCCTCGCGCTGTCATGTCATGAATATTTACGACGACGCTTTGCCGTCGCATTACCTGCGTAAGGCGCCAGTGTTTCGAAGCTTTCGCTATCGGATCCGTGACTTGTGTGCAAGCACCACCGAAGAGTATCACCTTGTGCGGCCCGTTGTGCATCATGTCGAAGAACGCCTTCATCCCGACGGCGGCGCTGCACTGCAAAAAAAAAGAAAAAAAAACAAAGAAACATTCGCGATTCGTTATTCTCATTCCTTTCGTTAACATGCACCTTCTCCGCGTTTGTTTTTTTGTTTTGTTTTTTTTTGTTTTTGGAATCCGGAAAAATACACGGAAAAATATACGACGGCGAAATTCCGTCGCTAAATTGAGTTTCGCCCGAACGCGAATTCAGTGAAATATGAAAAATATCTTTTATAACCAACGAGGAGGAATTCAACTACACATACACATGTTTTATCGCTCGCTATCGTTTGCGGAACGTATATATATACATACATATATATATATATATATATATATATATATGTATATATGTATATATGCATATATGTGTACAGTTACTTTTCTTTCCCCTTCACTCACGATATCAAGATGGAAAGTGATCGTCTTATATCGGAAACCCCTCTTTGATATTTGCAGAATCAACAAGTGCTTGTTGGGGTACGGCCAGAAAATGGACGAGGAGCTGCGGATGCTATGCCAGAAAATCGGCGTACGGACAAATATTATCGGGGAACGTTGACATCTTCTTCGCAAATTATCGAACGAAAGATTTAATTCAACAAAAGTTCACCGGATCGTAACGTTATGAGCAAGGCAAATATTGCTCGCGATAAAACGCGCGTGCGATATTTCGACTTTATTTAATCTCGGCGGAAAAAGAGCGTTGAGAACTATTTATATCGTGTAATGGGTTTTTTATATATATTTAACAACAACAACAACAACAACACACACACACACAGGTGTTTTCAATATTCTGCCGTTATAATCGTTGGAAAACTTTGTTGTCGAAAGTTCTTGTGTTGCGGAAATATCTAAATATTTAATGCAGACAAATATGAGGGCACTTTGTGAGTCTCTCTCTCTCGTAACTGAAATAATAATTAAAACGTCAGACACGAGAAAGATATCCGAGAGCCGGGAGAGAAAGAGAGAGAGAGAGAGAGTGCTCCGCTGTATTATTTGTGTAACGGACGATTATTGGAACCGGTATATTGCATATTCCTTTTGAGAGTTTCGGTGTCTACACGCGCGCTTTTGATATCCGCATCACACACACACACACACACATATACTTCGAAATGTTTTCCACGTGGGAATTAATTCTGACGTGTCACTATCTTCTTTGTGCGCTTACTCGTGTGGGTAACCCCGTTTCACAAAGAAAGAGATATAATTGTACAGATGAAAATAGGAATTCCAGTTGGGGGGAGAAAGGGAACAGAAACGTGTGTCCAAGTGTAAAGATTGGCGAATTTATTATTATGAACGATCTGAAATTTTTGCAATCAGTCGGTGATTATATTCGAAGCTGCAAACTACTACGTAATTTAAAATCGCCGTTTTCTAACTACCGCTTCCATTATTTTATATTATTTCATCTTTCCACCGTGTGTATTTTGCTCTCACAATTCAGCACTGTATTAATTATCTCTCATTAATTTTTCGTCTGAAAACGTCCGTAAAAGAGACTGACGTTTCTCCAAAATTTAAATTTATCGCTGCTCACTCGAGAGAGAGAGAGAGAGAGAGAGAGAGAGAGAGAAAGAGAGAGAGAGAAAGATATTCCATATCGCGTTTACTACATGTTCCTCGTTCCATTTTATATCGATTTCCGATACATCGGTTATCACGGCAGAAGAGTAAGAGTTTCCATCCTTGGAAATTATGTTACGCGATGAAGAATCGTGTAACTCGAGGAAAATCTTTAAGTTCATTAGCCGCTGTGTTTAGTAATCAAATCCCCGAAAGTAGACAGCAGGAAGAAGAAGAAGGGCTTAAGAAAGAGCTTTAAACTCGAAGCTCTCTGTGTTGAATCTAACGTTATGAAAACGAGAAAAAGCGCCATTTTATCGACTACGAACAATGGGCATTGTTGGAGAGCTGCCGCATTGTTGCAACAGATGATAAAGGATAATCTGCCATTATATGAGAAAAAGAAGCATCTTTTTCTTCGTTTAGATGTCGGGTTAAAAATCGCGGAAATGGCATTGTGATTCGAGACGACGACGACGGCGGCGGTGGCGGTGGCGGTGGCGGCGGCGGCGAATTTCTTAATTATGACATTGCGTGTCCTGAAGAACTCACCCGGAAAACTTTTCGAAAAGCACCGATTTCTCTCTCGCGTGAGAATTGATAGAATTAATTGACGCGTTCAAAATCCTATTCAATGCGATTATTCTCGAGAAAATTCCTGGCAGTGAAAATGGGATGTAGACGCCCCGAGACGTGCCAGTATCTGCTGCGGCGGTGGTGGTGCGCATATTTACTGCGACTACTCACAGCCGCGTATCGATATACGTGCATGCGGCGCTAGCTCGCTGTACACTTGAGCGAGCGCCGCAACTTTTCACAATATCCTTTCGACAAGTAATAGGAAGCGATTAATCTCGCCCGTCTTCGTGTAAGCTGCCACGTTTTTCCCGCCCGTTTCTTCGTGGCTAATTGGCAACTCATAATTCGATGTGTCTAAAGCCTGAGCGATTTCCTGAGAGGCGTTTAAGCGCCACAGTGTCGCGATGCGATTTTCCGGGTTCGGCGAACCGAGTAACTGCATCGGAGTGAGAGAAAGAAAGAAAGAGAACGAAAAAAAAAAAAAGTGCTGTTTCACGGCTGTTTACCTTTCGTTGCGAGAAAAATGAAGATAATGCCATTACGTGACTATGCAGATATATCAACGCTATGTGTATTTTTTGCGTGCCGCTTCTGCAACACCGGACTCAATCGAAAGGATGTCGAGTGTATTTAACAATATAATCTCCCGCGTTACGCGTTTCTTCCGTTCCGGTCAGAACACACACTCCGAAGATGGAAAAACACGTGTACGCGTACGGAAAATTCTCGAAGGATTAATTTTTCCATCCGCTCGCGTAGCGTTTCCGCGACTCACAGTAGTTCGAGTCAACGATAATAACACACGTAGCTGAATTTTTTTTTTTTTTTCGTAACGTGCGTGACACGGTATAAAATTCTACAATTTTTTTCTCTCTTTCTTTCTCTTTCTTTTACTCGCGCGCGCGCGCGACTGACGCCATAATTGAGAGAACGTCGGAGAGAGTCTTGAATATTTCACGTTGAGTATATATCTACAAATCTTCCCGTTTTGCTCGAAATGAGAAAATCGTGATTTACATCGTTGTTTCGCGCTCGGCGACTCGCACGCGCGCGGATTGTTTTTCATGGGCGTCGCCACGGCCCATAGCGCGTTTCGCATAAATTTCCATTCATAATTTAAAGCTCGCGCGAATCCGCGCGTCCCTTCTCGAATGCAGACGTCATCCACGGAGGGACCTAATTTCGCGTCGACTCGTGTATAAGCGCGAGTTTGCGTGTGTGAGAAAGAGAGAGAGAGAGAGAAAGAGAGAATGTCGAGTTCCAGACGCTACATAAAGGTAAACGTAAAGTTTCCGCTCGAAGTTGCACTCGCGGTTAGGTATCCTTGACTCGGTGTGCACTTCTACTTCTGGAAGTTTTCTCTGCAATTTCCCTATGTCTATGTTGTCGGCGACTCGACGACGACGGTGGGAGGAGATACCGTGTCGTCGGTACACGTAGCGTCCGCGCAGACGGGAACGAAAAAAAAACTTCGAAGTTTATCCGAGAATTGTACAACCGATCGGTTCGTAAATCGAATAGTTTTTGCAATGGACTACGTATCGAGATACGCCTGAGAATCTCTCTCTCTCTCTCTCTCTCTCTCTCTCTCTCTCTCTCTCTCTCTCTCCTCTCTGTGTCTAGAATTTTCACGGCCAATCTCCCTTCGAAGGCATGGCAAGCTTCCAAAGTGTATATACTTTTTCCCCTAATAGAATTATTCCTCGTAAGAACTTCCGGATGGTTCGAAGTCCACTTAAAACCAGTAAGGCGCTCTTTTATGTGCCCGTGTATATTAGCCGGCGTCTCGCAAAGTGCATTATGCGCGCTTTCGCGCTGCACGTTATTACCGCGGACAACTCGAAGCAATTTAAGTTGCGCTTGCTTGTTGTTTTGTTTCGCAGCTATCTTTACAACACAGCGATGCGGAATTTAGTCGGTTTAGCATCTGCGCGCAACACAATGCGCGCGATAACGAATTATCTTGCGCGCGCGCGTAAATGCGTTTTGTGAAATACATTTTGCCTCTGCGAATTTGCACGTAGCGCACAAACGCTGGGAAAGAGAAAAAGAGAGAAAATTGTCGGAACTAGTAGAAATTCCGCTTCGATCAGCGCGATTTCACCGGCCAGTTATCGATTGGTATCGTAACGAGCGGTCGTCTATTGAACCTTGAGGGGTCATGCGATGTGATTGAATTTTTTTTTTTTTTTTTTTTTTTGTTGAAGGCCGTCGTTTCCCTTCCGCCTGTCGGGTTTGAGCGAGAACCCGTGACGCAGCGGATTCGCGCCGAGTCACGGACTTTTTTATTAAACGATGTCCCCAAAGTTTACGAGAAAATGCGTGGAACTCCGGGGCGCGCCGGGTTTTCGATCTCCTCTCCGTTTGCCTTCGTCGAAAAATCGAGGTCTCGCAGAAGAAACGAGTCGCGCGTTCAGATCAGGCGACGAGATTCTACGGAATTTGTGGCGATCAGTGCCATCGCGCGGCGGGTAAACAACGCGATAAATCGTCCCGCATCGATAGCTCCTAATTCAGCGGAAATTGAGATACAAGTGGCGGTTGCTGCTGAATGTATCGACCGATGCGCAGCATCGGTGACGTCTGGCAAAAGGAAAAGCCCCTTCCTTCTCTCTCTCTCTCCCCCCTTAATTCTGTTTCGGGACAATGCGTTCACCCGTCAAATATTCCGACGGATCCCGGAACATGCGCCACACCATTCGTGCCGCGAATTTTGTTCGCAATCTCGGTTAAGCTTAATTCGCAATTCGCGTCGCGAGTTGGGAAGAAAAACACGTATCCCGCTGTTGTTTATTCTCCCCGGAAGGGGGAGCGGCGTAAAATTTGAATTGCAAAAAATGTCTACACAACATTTCCAGAAAAGAAAGGTGTGATGCTCGACGATAGACAGTATTCGAGCACGAAGTTGCGCGTATAGCTCGGTAAGCTATTTTTATACACTTGACGTCGAGACATTACCACGATAATAATAACATGGCAAAATAGCTTTACCCCAGAATCTAATAACGCTCGAGTACGAGGGTTCCCCTTGTGTGTGCCCGCCAATCTAATGTACAAATCAGACGCGATAAAAATCCGAGTCGAGTTGTGAAAATTTCTTTCTCCGCGCAATAGAATTAAACGGTAAAATATGATCGAGAATCGCACTTTTTTATTCACAAATATCAGATTTCTCGTTTCAGTATGTGTGTGTGTGTGTATGTGTGTGTATTCGATTCAATTTTTTCTTTTTTTTTTCCGTTTTCTTCATTTCAATTTTAACTGCATTAATATATATATATATATATACATATATATATATATATACACACACACATGTGCGCACAAGTTTTTCGTATTCTCATTCGATAAAAATCGACTCGAGTCACCTTGACCTAAATTTTTAGATTATATTCGCAGGCGTAGCAGATATCGATTCTACATCTATTATCTATCTACAATACTTATGCCAATATTATCATATTAATGTACGAGAATAAGATTTTATTTGATTACCGATTAAAGAGACGCGCAAACAATTTATTAGCCGGACCACCAATTTGCTGATGCGAACAGCAGGTAAATCGTAAAAAAATGCAAAAGATGAAAAATAAACGGAGATAATAACTCACTTCCGTGTCGTTCCACCACATGTGCAATCGGTAGTCCCTGAGTATCGTCGGATGCTCGTTGATGTGCTCCACCGCGAGCTTTACCGCAGGCATGACTCCGCGTCCGATGTGGCCCTCCGGCACGTGGTTGCCGTATGGGAAAAAACCGGCGATGTAGACGTCGCGCTTCTTGCTGCCGCCGAGATTGATCGGCTTCTGGCCGGCGCACTGGCCGATCAACAGCAGCCAGCAGCAGCACGCGGCCAGCAGCATCGCCAGCGTGCGGCACGTTCTGCCGCCGATTCGCGCGGGCATCGCCGCCACCTCGACGACGGTCCTCATCCCGTTCACCCTCCGTCCGCTCCTCCTCTTCTTCATCCGATCAGTCCCGACGACATCTCGCGATGGGTACGCGCGCGCTTTCATCTCGAGCTCTTCCGGGTCACCGGGCGCACACCCGACGGTAAGCCCGACGCGACGCTCGTTGCTGCTCGTCCTGCAACTTCCGCTCTCATGACGAAACACGACGACGACGACGACGGGAAGTAGACTCGGCGCACCGGCGACGATTTCCGGCGATCGCTTTTTTCTTTTTTTTTTTTTTTGTTTTTTTTTTGTTTTTACAACGATGATTGCTCCCGCTCACGAGATAACGCGCGGATGCATTTCGCGATCTCGGTTCAACGACGGAAGTGTGGAGAAAACGAGGAGAAAAGAAACGGCTTTATGCGATTGTCTTCGCGCGAAATGTAGCACCGAATCGTTCGACACCGTTTTTCCTAGCATAATACCGGAATATTCGATGATGATCGCGCATTGAATCTGAACGAGTCAGCGCGAAAATCGGCTTTGAGCGTGATGAATGTATTTCTAATACGTTTTCTCATATATATATATGTATGTATATATATGTATATAACGGGCGATGTGCTCGCGTCATGTAAAATGGACGCTTCGTTCACGCGGGGGGGATGGATTCTGCGAAGAGATGCCCGTTTAAATGGGCGCATCGTTCGTTGTGGAATATCGCCGAGTTTTGCGGGCTCGACATTTGATACGGGGTACGACAGCCGCGGAAACTGCCGATATATTCCATAACGTATACTAGGCGTGTACCATTTCTTTATTGCGGCGAGCTCGTGTTTCGAGGCGCGTTTCTGTAAAACGAAGAGACGGATCTTCGATCGTCGTGGAAACGCTCCGTTCCGGAAATGCACAGAGGTCTTTATCTCGATGCTCCATTCCGGATGATTGCGTCTTAACGTCGGTTGTTGTGCTTTATCATCGCCGTTTGCTGATGTCTCTCGGTGGCGGCGTCAGCGACGGCGGCGGCGGCGACGGCGGCGGTGGCGGCGGTGGCGGTGGCGGCGTCTCTGCAAACAAACGCGCGGGACAACCAGTTACTTGTTTTGCTAGATTAGGAAGCGCGGGGAGTTTTCGCGAAAGGGCTCAAAGTAAGCTCCGGAAGCTGGAGGGTATTAGTTCTCTCATTGCTCCGCGTCCTATTCCCAAGGCAAGCGGTGTGCCAGTAAATCTCTTTGCAGCGGATTAATGGCGAATGAAAACAAGGTTAATTGAGAATATGCCGAGAGAATGAAAATGAAGAATCGGAGAGCGCGCGAAAATATGTCGGATACGCGTAAACTATTTCGAAACTGCTGGCTTTTTAATTTAAAACTCCGCACCATATATATATATATATACGCTCTGTTTGTTCGCGCGATTCAATTGGTATAAAAATGCCGATACGCCGCGCGCATGGATTTTTCTCTCGCTACCGTTTATAAAAATAACAAAAACAAAACAAAAAAAAAAATAAAAAAAGAAGAAGAAACGTTAAATCACTCTCCGAGATACATCATCGTTCGAATCTGTGTTCGCGTGTATGTTACGGAGACGTGTCGCCCGTTAACACTCGTGTCGTAACGTACGTCATATCCGAAATTAGAGCTTTATCTCGTCCGACGTTATCCCCCTTCCCTCTCGTATATGTCGCATCGTTCTCGAGCAAAGAAGAGATTTAAGAGGATGACTCACTCTCTCTCTCTCACTCTCTCTTTCGCGCGCTATCAAAGTAGATAAATAAAGTTCGAGATTCTATCTAAAGTTTAATCTCACAGCCGCGAGGTGCTATCGAGCCGGGCAAAGAGATGAAACCGCTTTACATTGTCGTCGTTAACTTACCGGTTCCGACAGCCGACCTGGCCCACTTTCCGCCGCTATTGCGGGCGCATTTGATCCGCGCCGTGTGAACCTGATCCTTCAGAAATAACGTGTGCTCTCTCTCTCTCTCTCCCTCTCTCTCTTTCTTTCTCTTGTTCTCTCTTGGGATCGAACACGAACTTAGCAATCGTACGTCACTAGCAGCGAGCACTTGTCCGAATTTGTTGTCTCTCGAGTTGTAGTATGTATTACGTAAATTTTCTTATTTTTCCAGCAGAGAGACAGAAAGAGCGTCTACATCTTCTGGAAATATGTAAGAAAACACACTCGATCGCAGACGAAAATCGAATAATTCTATTTACGTCCGCGCCAGAAGCAATGCGGCCGAAGACGCGCCCTTTCTTCTTGCCCGGTCCGATAAAACATTGTCGCCCAGCTCGGGAAAATCTCTCGCGCGCGCAAACAAGAATATATACATATATATATATATATGTATATAATCTCCCGCATTCAACGAGATAATTGATAAAAATTAAATCTTTCGGGTTAAACACTAACCTTGACGTTCCATTATTGCACAAGGATTCGCTGACATCGCGTCATATTATCATTTTACAAGATTGCCGAGGATGAGAGATGATCGGGAAAATTGAGATGGGGAAAGAGGATGATAGCTTAGAGTGGAGAGAGGATTGATGACGTTGTTCGTAATGGGTAAGATTATAGGGGATGCTAATAGCTTAGGAATCTATCCATAATGAACATGGATTTGAGGTTTATGCAGCTATGAAAGAGGGAGGGAGGGAGAGAGAGAGAGAGAGAGAAGGAGAAAGAGAGCGTGAGAGAAAGATATATATGTATATGTGAAGGAAAAGCCAATTGTAGTATTTCAGGAATGTGTGAAACGGAGAGGAATCCACCAACGCGATGCTCGCAGGATGGATTATACTCGGGAATTGAGAACAAGAGATCTCGTCGGTGTTAATAATTGAAAAGAATGACGGAAACGATCGAGGTCACGTTGAAAACTTCTTTTTTTTTTTTTTTATGGGGTAGATCGTCTCTTCCCCGAGAAGAAAGAAAACACAGCGAAAATTATGATGGAGGGAGAAAAAATTTAAAAAAAAGGGCGGAATGTAAGTCAATGTCTTCTCTGTCATCAGAAAAATTTACACAGAGATCTTTTTCTAACATCGTTGTCCGACTTCGTGAATGAAAAGAGATATCTCTATCTTCGAGTTTATCCTCGAAACGGAAAGGATTTTTCAATTTCTTTCTCTCTGAAGATTTTTCTTGTTTTATTGTCACAGCGAATTGGTTACGTACGATCGATAAACATTCGCGCGCGTTGTTTAAACTCGAATAAAACGCAAAAATACGCGCGTTACGAAGGGCCGCAAAAATGTATATGTATATACGCGCGCGTTCGCGAAACTTTCCTCGCAACTATGTTATGAACCTGATAAGTTGGGCGGGTCGACACACACGGAGCGACATTAACGGAACGACTGTGTTTCACAGTGTGCGATTTCAAACGTGTAACGCGCGCGTGCGTAAACGATAACTCGAAACTCAAAGAGAAAAGATCACACGAAAGATTTGTACAACAATAATCAAATTCCACTGGTATTTAACCGTGAGAATGATTTTCCTTACAAATCTTATTTGCAAAACTTTTCTATCTTAAAATTTATCTTTCCTGTTAGATATTTTCTCGCGCGAGTCTTATAACGAACTGCTTGTTTCTCGACGAGTTCCGGAATTAAATTCAAAAGTTTTTTTTTTTTTTTCATTCCGAACCGAGAGTGGAAAGGCGTTTTAAATCAATCAGATCTTCCGCGAAATTAAAGCTATAAAAATTGAACGCGCTTCGATCGTTGTCCCGATTGGCCGATGCGTCAAGTACAGTCTGTAGAACGACCTCGCGCAGTACTTGAAATGACGATCGATGCATTCCCAGTTGACTATCTTTTATGTATACCGAACTGTACACGTTGCGCGCGTAACGTTTTCTTTAGACCGACCACAAAGAAGAACGCGGTGAGAACGGCGTTTTTTTTTTTTTTTTTTTTTTTTTTTAAGTTTTTTTTGAAAAGTAGACTCAAATCAAAGATGCGCCCGATCATGTGTTAAACTTCGTCTCGGGATCTAATCGGGATCCCG